ACAGCCCACCTCCTGCCTGCACAGCCCTCAGGGCCCAGCCTGCCCTCTGCTACCTCCCTGCCCTGTCCACGGTGTGGACGCCCAGTCTTGACCCCCAGATCCTCCGAGAGACGTTGCTCCAGGCTCTTGTCCTGGGGCACCAGGCTGGCTGGCTGTCCTGAGGACAACTCCCCTGGCTTCCTCCCTCCAGGTTGGGACACATTTTGGTCTGGGGAGGAAAAATCCCCCTTTCCTGTTTTCTCTAGGATGAATGCCCCTCCCCAAAGTCCACATGGTAAAGGCCTGGTACTCGGGGTGGTGGCAAGAGGAGGTGCTCAAAATCTTTAGGAGTAGATCCTTGGAGATCATTGGGTCATTTGGGGGGTGCCCTCAAAGTTCCCAAGTGGGACCCCAGTTTCCCAGTCTCTTTCTTCTTCCTGGCTTAAGGTGTGGGCAGCTGGCACCTACATACCCTCCCTAACATTGTCATCCAGCCCCCTTGATAGAGGTCCACAGCAAGGAGCCCACCTGATTTTAGACGGGAACCTCCAGGACCATGGGCTCCATAAACCTTTTCTCTTTATAAGTTCATCGCCTCAGGTGTCCTGTTGTAGTAATGTGAAGTCTACTTCTACACTCAAGAGAGTCCCTTCCTTTGTCATTACTACAAGCTCTGAGCTTGAGGGCAGGGCCAGGTCAGCCCCAGATCTTCTCCATATCAAAGGGGAGATTAGCTCAGAGCCCCTAACCATGTTAGATGTACTGCCCACACTCAGTGGCAACGCCTCCTCCGAGACTGTCAGCTTTATATCTGCTTCTTTTTATCAATACGGGCAAATAATTCTCTAGACATTTATCATTTTAAACTGTCACAGTCCACTGCCTTTCCCGAGGACCAAAATCAATACTGATCTTGGTTTGAATACTTTTCTGACAAGGTTCCTATTTGTAGATTCACAAGTAGAACTAATGTGTGTTAAAGCTATTCAGTTTGGCATTTTGCAGCTCCATTGACACATTAAATATAGGCGTTCACCACGACGATTAACCTTACAACTATTAAGTAATAAAAATCCCGCATACATATTTATTAGCTGAACATCCAACTTGCGTGTGGTGCCTTCCCCGACGAGAGGGAAATCAGAGGAGGTGGGGATGGCTGCAGAGAGACAAGCTCACTGCTTGCAGAGGAGGCAGGAGGAGGCGGGGCTCTCCAGGCTGGACATCTTGGTGGGAGGAAGGGAATTTGCTGAATCTGGAGCTGACAAGTGGCTGAGCTGTCCTGAGATGAGGACCCTGACTTCCTGGTTCTAGGTGCTTTCTGAGTAAGCACCTTCCTCCTCTTGAGCCTTGGTTTCCTCATGTGCATAATGGGGTCAGACGAGAATCCATGCTTCCCAGCCTTCTTCTAATGCCTTGGAACACACAGAGATGGTAACATTCTACAAGGTCCTGGGATCAAGAGACAAGGCTGCTTACAGCCAAAGTGACCAGCTTGGGGGGACCCTGACTGCCCCGTGAGTCTATTCTGGCCATCAAGAATGTCAAGGAGATCCACAGCTCAGCCTGCTGGTCATTTGCCAGTTGAGACTGTGGAGGAGAGGAGAGCAGCTGTCCTCCTTTGAACTGAGGCTTGGTGACTCTGGGTGCCTTCCCAGTGCATTGGTGGGGACTCTGCTTCCTGGATGCTGCCTTTCCTGAGCCAGCATCAAGATGGGTCCTGAAACCAGGTGCGGTGGCACATGCCTATAATCCCATCGGCTTGGAAGGCTGAGGCAGGAGGATCGTGAGTTCAAAGTCAGCCTCAGCAAAAGCAAGGCACCAAGCAACTCAGTGAGAACCTGTCTCTAAATAAAATATAAAATAGGGCTGGGGATGTGGCTCAGTCAAGTGCCCCTGAGTTCAATCCCTGGTACCCTCCCTCCCCGCCCCCCCCCCAAAAAAAAAGAAGGATCCTGAGCATGTGTTTATGTCCTGGCCTGGGAAGGCACGGACCCTAGCATCCTGGATGTGGGCCCAGGCAGGTACCTGTAGATGCCACTTGTCATTCTGGCCCATTAGGGCCTGGGCCCTACTCGTTACTCATGATTTATGCACCTCCCCCAGAAGGGGCTTCAAGATGAGACAGGTGAGGGGCTCTGGAGTCAGCACTCCTGAATTTAGGTACCCCTGTCAGCCTCTGGGTCGTGTATCTGTCATCTCCACTCTGCAATATGCATGAGCTCTGGCCCAACCTCAGACCCAGGGTGGCACAAATGTGAGCAGGATGGACCACATAGTGGGGGAAATAAGGATCTCTGTGCAGTTGCAGTGTGTCGCACAGGGTGTCAGGGGAGGGAAGGAGCAGGGTTACAGGGGGTTCTTTCTGGACGCAGGGACCTTTGCTCTGAGATTTCTGTGAGATCTACCAGCTGGGCCGGGACCCTCAGAACAGTGGAGGAGAACAGTGTTGCAGGCAGACGGACAGCATGTGGCCTTGGGGACCTCCTACTGTGGCAGCGCAGCCCAGCAGAGTCCCACCGTGAGTTCTGACACCCGTGGTTGTCTGTGCTCCCAGTAGTGACCCAGCACAGTGGGGGCCACTGTTTCGGCTCTGCCTGACCTTCTTGTGTGGCACCTGGCCTTCTGAGGTGGGCCAGGCCGGCACTGTGACCTCCAGTCTTCCCCTCTCCCTTCTGCTTCTTGTCACAAGGGCGTTTCCCTGATAAATTCCCTACACGTCGAGTCCCATCTGGGCATCTGCTTCTCAGAGGACCCAGAGTAACACAAGAAGGAAGAGCTTCAGACACTGAGCGTGAGGGTGGCCTGTCATTTCCATCTTCCAGACAGGGAACAAAGGCTCAGCAAGTTCCAGAAGGAAAGCGCTTTGAACTGTGATGTGCTGGGCCTTGGCGGTTGCTGTTGATGGGGACAGGCCTCCACGCAGCCACTTCCTGGGCACCCGAAGGCACGTCTGCCATCTCATAAACCCTTCCCCATGGAGAAAGGCCAGTGCTCTTGTCTCTGTGGACATTCTAGAAGGTCGGAGCCTGGAGATGCCAGAGGTCGGTCAAGGACTCATGGACTTGGCCTGGGGTTGGCACCCAGGTCTGTCCACTGCAAACTGTGCCTGGGTCCTCTGAGTTGTTCCTGCATTGTCCACGTGCTCGTGGACAATCTGAATCTGTCCCTTGTCGTCTGATTCTAGTTGACAGAAGATGCTTCACCAGGCACTGAAGGAAGTACTTCCGGGCTGGCTAGTCTGGGACTTAAATCTGCTTGGACGCCCCTTGCACACACTGGCCAAGAGCCCCAGAGATGGGGGGTGACTTTCCCAGATGGTGGGCTTGCTCAAGACCCTGTTCTTCAGCTTGTTGCCCCTCTCCTGCCCCCACCCCCCGGCACTCCTGGGCACAAGGGCCCACGCTGGCTTTCTCATGGATTGGAGGATCCAGGTCAGCTCTTCCACCACTGAGTGGCCAGCCCCATGTGTGACCCAGCCCCTGTCTGGGGCTTTTATCAGCCCAAAGCCCTGTCATTAGAGGACAGCCACTCGCTGGAGGGGAGCACAGGAGAGGAACCTGACGTCACAGTGGGAAGGGACGCGATTTTCCTTTCTCAGTTGGAGGGTCTGCGGGGAGCCTGGACACCTTCTCGGGGGAGAGGAAGAGGGCAGGGGTCAGTGCCAGGGGAGCCCTGCTCCCTCAGACCTGCTTCTGGGCTCTTCCCCCTCCTGGGTGGGACGAACTTGCCGCTGTCAGGGAATGTCTGCCGAGGTGCTCCTGGCTCTCCTCTGTTTCTATTTTCTATCTTGATGGAAAAATTGTGATTTTCACACTGTCACGAAACCAATAGGTCCCTGACATATGTTTTTGTAATCTGTGTAGCTGGTTTCCTGTACTTCTGACAGTTCTATTACATGTCTGACAGTTATATGAAATTTTTCCTCTGGGAAGTGAAGGGGGGCACGTGCCTCTCCCCGCCCCCATACCTCCCTGGTCCCCCGCGCTAACTTATATTTGGAGACTGAAGAACAGAGTGGATGCTTTTCTTGTCCTTGCCCTATGTTAGCTGTCAGCCCCCTCCTGGGAGGGACAGGGTGAAGCTTCCCGCCAAATGACATGTGAGGGACACTAAGTGATACGGGAAAGTAGGAGGGGAGCAAAGCCAAACTGACTCAGGACTCCATGGACCCCGGCTGGCCGAGTCCCCGTGAGCATCCTGCCCCACTCCTCCCAGGGCAGCGCCCTGTGCCCGGGGGGAGAACCACCTCTGCTTCGTGGCTGGGGCAGGTGGGCGGCACTGCTGGCCCTGCAGAAAGGCCGGCTTTGGCAGCAGCCCACGTGCACGAATGTGGCTCTCTTGATGTGCCTGTTGAGTTTAGCGGTCACGTTCGTGCACGTCCATCTTGGTAAGTCACCGTGCCGGGCCCTGAGGTGGTGGGGCCGTGTTAGGGGCCACAGGGGTGTGAACCAAGTGGGAGTGAACTTCTCTGAGTGGGCTCTGTCCTTGTGCTTGGGAGTGCACACTGCAAGCACATGTGTCCGTGGGCATGTGTCAGTGGACTGTCCACCTGGGAAGAGGTGCTGGGGACACCCTTTTGTCTAACTTGGCTGCTACTCTCTGGTGTCCTTAACTGGGGACAGCAGGAGGAATGATGGGAGAGGTGGGACACTGCAGGGAGGAAATGGGAGCCAATGTCCCCTAGGCTGTGAGGACATTGGCTCCCAATGTCCAAGACAGTTGGCTGGTCTTGGAGGTGGAGTCTGGTCACTGGCCTTGTCACTGCCTTGCTGGGTGGCTTTGGGCAAACCTCACTATCTGGCAAGTGAGGGGGAGGCCCTGAACGTTCTCCTGGGGATTCTCCATGAAGCACATACAAGGTGTCCCCGAGACACCCCCACCTCCCCGCCCCGTCCCACCTCAGGCTCTTTGAACACGAAAGCCGGTGTCACATCTCAGCCTGGTCTCCAGACATTATTTGGGGCCTCTCAATTGACTTAGCCACTCTGATTTTCCTGTCTATGGAAAACGAGGTGTTGCCATGGCAACTGCCACATTACACGGTGCCGTGCTGACGATGCCTCTGAGATACAGAGCAGCTTCTCAAAGAGATACACTTTTCAACATGTCATGTAGGGCTCTGTACTTGTTAGGGAAAATCGCATTTCCAGCAAAATGACATGCCAGCGCGCGGCTCACGCCTTTCTTAAACAAAGAATTTCATTCACTGCCTCTCTCATGCCTGTCTGGCCTGCCACTGGCTACCCACCTGCCGGAGCCCCGATTCCCTTTACGTAACACGCAGAGCTGGGGACAGGAGGTGGGCTGGGTGCGGGGCAAGGCTCCAGAAGCAGGGGAGAGGTGCTCAGGGCTGGCGTCCCCTCCAGCAGAGGGGCTCCGGGGACAGGTCTGGGATGGGCACTGTGGCCCTGACTCTGGGCTCAGCCTGCCGGAGACGAGATGTGCCTCTGAGGCCCCTCGTGTGTTTGCCAGTCCCTGACCTGATCTTCAGGGTGGTGTCTGGAAGACGGGCCAAGGACACTCCAGCCTCACCCTTGAGTGAGATGCAAAGGCCACAGTGAGGGGCTGGTACGGCTGTGCCTGCACCGAAGTGCTCTGCATGACTACGCCGCTGTCCTCACCCAGGAAGGTGGGTATTGTGCTCAGTCCAACCCTCAGTCATGGTGGTCTTGGGTCCACCACTTCCCGCCTTGACCTCAGATTTGCCATTTGCCCCGTGGGCAGGTGGAGCTGGACATCTCCAGACCCCAGCGTCCTTGGAGTCCTGCTTGGAGAACTTGAAGCCCCTCTCTCCCAGATATTGTGATGAAAATGGGCCATCAGGCTTTCCCAACGAAGCCTGCACTGACGGGCAGATGTCCCATGCCCTGTGTGGACCACGCTGTTGGGTGAAGGGGCACACCAGCAGGCATCAATGCACTCATGATACTCAACTGGTGGGTGCAGTGGCCCTCGCCCCGAATCAGTCCTTACGTGAGTTACTGCACAGAGTGCTGGGCACTGGGAGCCACTGGACTCACTGACCAGGCTCTGGGACAAGCGCAGCTGGGCCATCGGGGAAATGGAGCATCTGGGCCCAGGTGGGAGGCCCCTGAGGGACTCCAGCCCCCTCTGCTGTCCAGAGGGTCTCTCTTGCTTTCCGGCCATATCGGTGGGGCTCCGTCCTTAATTCCTGCGTGAATGGCCTGAGCTGAGCTGCTGGTGGGGCTATGCCAGTGGGCATTAGTCTCTCTCTGGGTTTCGGGGCCTCTGCTCCCCCATACCTGCCCTGGACCACTGCATTTGTCCTGACCTGAAAAGAGGGAGGCTAGGAAGAGCTTTCTGGGCTCCCTGTGCAGGTGAGGGACCTTGCTGGGCTGCCTCAGGCTACCTCTTTGTTGAAGCCAGGGTGTCTCACTGGGTCTCCCTGCCTCCAGCCTCTCCTGCCTCCACCCCAAAGTGTCCTCCACCCTGAATGAGTTTTCTAAAGGCAGCCCTGACCATGCACCTTCCTGCCAAGTTCCTTCTGGGGCTCTCTGTCCCTCTTAGGATCAAGTCCGTGTCCCTGAGTGTGGTGTGAGGCTCCTGCCTGGCTCGGTCCCTGGACGCCTCTCCCAGTTCACCTCTCAGCCCTCTTGATTTTTTTGTGTGGACACAGGATTTCTTCCAGTTCTCCGAAGGTGCTGCTCTCTCTCACCTCCAGGCCTCGGCTGGGCTGCTTGGCCTTCGGGGACGGCTCTCCCTTCCTTTGGCTCAGCTAAATCCCATTCCTCTGTCATCAGGTAGATGATATCGCTGACCCCCCTCTGCCCAAGTGTCAGCCAACCACTTGGAGGAACTGCAAGGGCCTTGGCTGGATGGCATCCACTGCTCAAGTCTCCCACAGATCCTTCCTCCTTATCCACAGAGTCTCTCATTTTGGTTAGGCTCCTGGCTGCTCAGAACAAACACGGCTCCCAGCCTCCCTTGGAGCCAAAGGTGGTCATGTCACCAAATTCTAGTCAATGGGATACGAACAGAGAGCTCCCGGGCAGTATGCTTAAAGGAAAAGACGCATGCTTTTTTCTACCTTTCCTCCTTTCCACCAGTTGGAAAGCAAATGTGATGTCTGGAGCTTGGGTAGCCATGTGCTTGGGAGTCCCATGCTAAGAGTGACAGAGCAGAAAGAGAAAAGATGCTTGGCTCTCTGATGACCTTAAACCGGCGCCATGACTTTGGATTGCTTCACTTTAAAACTTCTTTTCTATGAGAGAGAAATAAGCTTCTATCTTGGACAGGCCACCATTAGTTCAGGGCTTTCTGTTAGTCATAGTCAAATCTAATTTTCATTAATGCAGGTACCAGTAACTGGACATCTGAAAGCAAGGAAGACATCTAGGTTCTCCTCTTTAACCAGGCATCTGGAGGAGGAGGCTGATCTAGGTTTGGTTCCACAATCCCATCTGTGTCTGTGACATTCTCAACCTTCTTCTCATGGTCCCAAGATGGCTACAGCAGCTCCAGACATCACATCTTCACAGCCTTCTCAGGTAGAGGCTGAGGATGAGCTACAAAAGGTAAGAGATGCCCTCCTCATGCACTTGTCCTTTAACCTTGGAGGGAAACCCTCCCTGGCAGCTCCAAGTAGATGTGCCAGGGCATCTTGATGGCCAGAATCCTAGCTCAGGGGAGGTTGGGATAGCGAGTCTCTGGATGTTTGGCCTCTATAGTAGAGGCAGTAAGGACAGAACTGGGAATGGCTCCTGGCTAGAAGGCCAGTGGTGCCTTCACATTGCCTGTTTGCAGTGTCTGTTCACTGGCCTCTCTCCAGGGCAGCAGGCCCCACAGCAATGCTCTTAAAAGGGTGCAGCCTCTGGGAGCCTGCCCACCAGGTCAGACCCTGTGTCTCCTGTTCTACCTCCGTGGAGTGGACCTCCCTGGGCTTCTCTGTGGAAAGGGGGTGACCATTCTTACCAGTCTCAGAACAGCGCTGGAGGAGCAAGCTCACATCTGCTGCTGCAGGGGACTCCGGCTGTCTCTCGTGGGCTCTGCACCCACAGCAGTCACCGCAGGGTGTTACAAATAGATGGTGCTGCCCTGCCCCCGCCCCCCGCAGAGCCTGGCATCTGACTGGTCCAGGGTGTGGCTCAGACACTGGGATATTTAAAAGCTGCTGATCAGTTCTAAATCTGAGCCAGCACAGAGTGAGCTTTCCATAAACGCTAGCCCCGATGGCTTTGTTCACGATTGTGGCCCCAGTCCCTCTCTCAGTGGCTCTCAGTAATTGTTTGTTGAATGAATGAATGAATGGAAATGTGGGGGCAAGAAGAGGGAGTTGGCTGGGCACAGTGGTGCACACCTGTAATCCCAGCCGCTTGGGAGGCTGAGGCAGGAGGATTAGGAGTTCAAAGCCAGCCTCAGCAAAACCAAGGCACTAAGACACAGTGAGACCTTGTCTCTAAATTAAATTCAAAATAGGGCTGGGGACGTGGCTCAGTGGCCCAGTGCCCCTGAGTTCAATCCATGGTTGCAAAAAAGAGAAGAAGAAGGAGTTGGTTGAGCCCAGTTGTCTCTGCCCGTGGACACCGGGAGTGCTGCTTTGTCTACTTGGTCATTGCTTCAGTCAGAAGACCTGAGGCCAGGAAGGCCTGTTCCCCCCTCCTGGCAGGCCTCCAGGGTCTGAGTGGGCCGCACTGTCCACTCCCTCATCCAAGATAAAAACAAAAACAGAAACAAAACCCCAAGAACTCAGGAGGAGGAACAGAGCGTGCAGAACCCACACGCTGGCTTTGCGGACTGGGCTGCCAGGGCCTCCGTCTCTCATCTGGCCACCAGCTTGGGTCTCAGCTGTAGCATCCCTGGGGATGTGTCCTGGTCCTTACGGGGGCCTTGTCCTTTCTGGGGGTGCCATGCTGGCTGGGTGGTATGGATTTCCGCTGTAAACGTGGCCCATCTGGGAGAAGCCCAGGTGCCATGTTTCCAACAGCCCTGAAACTTAAAGCTCAGAAGGCTTTGAAATGCAAATATTTTGAAGGAAACATAAGGTAAACATGAGTGCTTATTTCCCCCTGATGAAAACAATATGCTGTTTGCTCTGAAATGTAAATAGGGCCTAGATCGCTTTTAAAGAAAGCCATGGCTCATATTTTTAGGTCCAGGGTAATAGCGTTCCTAAAAATACGAGCATCCGGCAGCCTTCCCACCCTGCCGGAATCCGCACTCCCGGCTCGGTCCTCCTTCCAGGCTTTGCTATCTTCTCCCATAAATATTCGACATCTACCTCCTCCCCTTCCAATCCGGAATGCTGTACTTCCCCTTCCTCAACCCTCATCTAATTTTTCCAATACTCTCCGGGAGTTCCTTTCGGATAGAATTGGGGGAAGGAAGAAAAAAAAAAAATCTGTAGCCAAAGGCATTTCACTGACTTGAAAGAGATTTTATGGTGCATTGAGTTCTAATCAACTTTAATAAGTATTTAATGCAGGAGGAAGACTTTGCCCCCAGCCCCGAGGCCGACCATGCGTGCTGGTGGCCCCCTGTCGGCCACGGGAGAAAGGACCGCTGCTGGGGCCATGGTTTGGGTGGGCGCGGCGAGTGACAGCTGCAGAGAAACGAATAATTAGCGATTTCAACCCCTGATAATGAGTAGCTCCATGATCCTTCTTGGAGCCGTTAAGAACATCTATCTTATTAATGATCCCGCTCGACAGCCACGGGCCCCGGCGCCCGCGCCTCTCGGAGGAGACTCTCGTTCCTCATCTGCGCACCGAGGAGCAGAGAGGGAAGGTGGTCATTTGTCATCCCCTTAGTAGTGCGAGCTCGGCTCTGGGGGCCAGCCGTGCCCCTGGGGCTGCTCGGGAGACCTCCACGGAGCCCCGTGTGCCATTCACATGGTGCGCAACGCCCTTGATCCTGTGCCCACGTTGCCCCGTTGCCAGGAGGGGTTTCCACCTGCGACGCGCGCTCTCCATCCTGCCCACCCACTCACCTGGGCAGTGCGATTATCCTTATCTATGGGAGGCCTGCCTGCCAAGGGAATTCCGGGCTCCTCACACCGTGGGTTCACAGAGCCAGGACTGGGAAGCCTGTGTTTCTGGTGGATTTTCCTGCCACCCCATGCTGTCCTATGGAATGAGTCTGGGAAATTGCAGCCCTTCCTGGCTGGGTTTTCTCAAAGGCATCGCCCTAGCTGAGTGTTGCAGACTCACTGTCTACTGGCTGCATCTGGTCCACAGAGAGGAATCTGTTTGACCTGTACCTGTCTTAATAATTGGGAAATATCCACAAAATAATTCCAGACTTACTGAAAAATTGCAAGACTCTGGCCCCCTGAATTTGTAGTTTCACCTGATCTCTGGGCACCTGATTATTTTAGGCAATTTACCACAGGCCTCACCACTCCCAGTTGTCCCACACTCTGCCTGACTTGCTCATTTATATATCTGTCTCTTGCTATAAGTGTCTGAGTTTCAGGGAACCATTTAGACCTGTGATTTTTTTTATACCCTATTTTTTTTTTAGTAGATCCCTTTTCTCAAACTATAAAATAGGTAATAAGAAACACTGTGGTTAAGGTTGTTGTGGACCCAGGATCCCATTTCCTTGAACGTCACTTTCCACTCCAGTAGTTCTTAAAAGTTTCTGGAGACCTCAGGGCCCCATGGAACACAGTTTGAAGAAGCTTTCGTTGAGAACAAATAAGTGACATCATCCCCAGGATACGGAATGCAGCAGAAGATTCCTTGCTGGAACCAACAACTGGCAGTTCAAGGTGGAGGTTGTTATCCAGAGGGCGAAAGAGAAGCCTGGACAGGACGACCTGCTGCACATGGTGTGAAATGCCTCGCTGGCATTTAAACCATCCTGTGGATCTTCTTGTCACTCCTAATGTTTTCTAGAAGAACCTCACGTGTGCAGCTACTGATTGTGTGCACACCTCTGGCCCCAGCCCCAGCCTCACACCAGCTCTTGATCTCCCATCTCTCTTTGGGAGAAATGAAGAGTATCTCCCCTCACCAACCAAGCATCACCTGTGGCCGTAATGGTACTCCTGAACCGCGGTTTGACCCAGACGTGGAGCATTTTTAAAATTGTTTTGGACCCAGGATCTCAATTCCTTGGAGCATATTCTGGCACTTTTAGTTAACCAGAGCTCAGTAATTTAAAATTTACTTTTATGTGTGATGTATATGCAAAAGCATGTAAAATAGGAGGGACTACAACATATTCCTGAGGCTTCAAATTGAACAGGAAAGTTTAAAGGGATTTGGGGGTTGCAGTATTGTAGATCACATCTCCTGGGTTGGGGCCATGGATATTTTTTCTATAAAGGGCAAGGTAGTACATATTTTAGGCTTGACAAGAGCGTACAACTTCTGTCACCATGACTCGACTTGGCTATTTTAATTTGAAAGCAGTCTGTAGATAATTTGTAATGGAATGAGTGTGGCTGTGTTTCAATAAAACTTTATTTACAAAGACAGGTGGTTGGTGAGAATTGGCCATCACTGTTGATTCTTCCTATGGGTCTGTGTGGGCATTGTGTTGTCTTTAGAGGTACCTTAGTAGACACATCTGACAGAAGAAGATGGGGTGGCACTGGAACTTTCCAACACCAGCTTTCTGTCACTGACTGGATTCCTTACCTTGTGACCAATTCTGGTACTAACTCCCAGGCACAGACCCTGCAGGTTAAGGGCTCAGGCCTGAATTCAGATGTACTTCTGTCTAGCCAACTATAACTTTGGGGGGTTCCCATGACCCTTGTCCAGGTTTAAGGGTTCACTAGATATTGCACAGAACTCCAGAGAGAGAGCTACATTATGACTATTGTTTTATTAGAGTGGTACCCAGAGCAGCACAATGAGGAGATATAGTCAAGGTCTTAGAGATGAGGGTACGATGGAGGTTCCTATGCCCTCTCCCAGTGGAGTCAAGTTGTCCCCCTCCAGCAACTGGGAACAGTATGTCCCGGCCTCGTCATTTCTGAGTTTTATCTGATCCATCATTAGGTTGCATGATTGATCTGTCATTGACCATGTGATTGAATTCCATTTCTAGCTCTCCTTTCTCCCTGAACACTGGAGATGGGGGAGACCTTCCAACCCTCTAATCTGGTGCTTAGTTTCTGGTGTGGCCATCTCCTCTCCTGAAGGCCCATCATGAATCACTTCATTAGCATATAGTCAGACCAAGAGGTGCTCATTATGGATAACAAAAGATTTTCCTCTCACTCAGGAAGTTCTAAAAGTTTTTGAAGCTCTGTGCCAGGAATGAGAGAAAAAGACCACATGTATTTTTTTTTTTTTAAATTTTACTGTTATACCATAGTTTGCCAATGGATTTCATTTGCTTCCTTTGCCAGCTCCAGTCAATTGGCCTTGCCTGGAGTGCTAGGCTGAAGGGTCAACCTGGGGTCCGAGCTCACTGGAAAAGATTGCTGTCATCAATAGGTGATGTCTGCCGTGAGTGACATAATAGGCATCGGCAGCACAAAATCTCTGTATCTCCCGTCCATTTTCCAAAGAGTGCCTTCTTATCTTTCTGAATTTGGCCTTCTAATCTGTACTACATAACTACCCCTTGCTTTCTCTGGGACAGTCCTCTTTTTCTCAACATTCTCTCTCCTGTAGCAGTCATTGCTCTACTTGCTCCCACCACTAGGCCATGTTTCTATAGGACTTCACTTCTCTGGTCTTGGTGGCCTGGTCTGCAGATAGACAGGTGACCAAGTAGAGGCAATCATGATGGGCTCTGGTATGGGTGTGGTGTCCAGGCTGGGCCTCTCCTTGGCAAATCTTCCATGTTTTGCACATGCTCGTGGGTTGACCTTCAGGGAGAGGATGAAGTAGAGATGTAAGATGGAGAGAGGAGGTTCTGATCCAATTCTGGTCCCTGTTGTTCTGAGACTCTGCTGCTTCTTGTTTTCCACTCCCTTTTGAGTGGATATAATCCCCTTTTGGCCTCAACTAGTTTGAGGTGGGTTTCTGTCAATGGGAACATGAGTTCTGAGTGACACATGGCCCATGTGGAAGCATTTGCCATTCTTCCAGCCATGAGCTATTATGGGACTCATCCTATGTGAATGGTGTTGCTCACAGCTGCAAGGGCGCTGGATAGGGGGACAAGGTGGGGCTCTGTTCAGATTTAGGGTGAAGACAGGAACCAGCTGGAGGGGACAGTCTGATACTAACTTAACTCAGACTCTCCAGGAATTGAATGACGCTCTGCTCCTTGCTCCAGATGTCACCTAGCCTGCTTATGCCTGGGGTTGACCTCGTGACCTCCCAAATGATTCATACATCTGTCTTCACCTTGGATGTAGGTATCTCAAAGCTTGGGGAAAGGACTTCCTGACTCTTGAGCCAGAATAAGGCCAGTGTACTCTGTGTTAGGGGATTAATTCCAAGCACTAGGTATGGTGCCCTGTGCCTGGGAGGCACTCCTCAGTGGGAGCAGAATGAATGGATGAATGAATGCTCGGCTCCCCTGTGCTTGCTCCTTTCTCAAAGCCAGGGGGCGTGTGCCGCGTCTGTCAGATGTGTCCTAGAGATCCTGATGTTAGCAGCCCTCTGCTATCTGTCCAAAGCCTTCCCAGTCTCTGCCTCTCCACTCCCCTGCACCCCCCACCACCAGGAGAACACAAAAGAAGGTCAAGTCGCCCCCAACCCAAGGTCAATTTCTTCCCTCCACTGAGCCAAGTCCAGCTTCTTGTTCAAGTCAAGTCCGCTGGTGTCTGGCTCCCTCCCCTGCCCTGCAGCCTCTCCTGCCACAAATCCCCCTCTACCCTGCACTTCTGTATGTGCAAAGCCAACCCTATCCTTAGAACCCTATCCTTACCACTGCCTTAGAGGTACTCAGGAAATATTTACTGAACAAATGTGGAATGAATGAGAGTCCATGCATTTGCATGGAATCACCTTCATTCCACATATATACTTCCCTTGCCCTGGTCTTGGTGAGATGGTTTGCTTTAAAAGAGTTCAGCAACTCACAGGGTAGGTGAAACCTCTGGGGTTGGGATGAGGAGTGGACCCAAGTGCTGAAAGAGAGAGAGGTCCAGGGCCTGGTGGATTATGGGGAGGGACTCCCAGAAGGGGTGACATTTGTACTGGACTTGCAGGGAATGCGTTGAAGTGTACATAGTCGAGAAGCCTGTTTAGCTGTGGGATGCTTTTAGAATTACAAGTGACCCAACAACAATTAAAAAAAATCTCAAACACAGGGATGTAGATCTCAGGGAGGGTCCCTGTGGCAGTTCTGTAAGGATACTTGGGACTTGGGCTCCTTTTTGCTGTCCACATCCCCATCCACAGTTTTGATTTCAGTCTC